TGTGAGATTCATTTTTGTCTTCAACCTGGGTTTTGTTGGATTAATGTCTAAGTCCATAACTATAATTGGTAAGACTTGACCCGACCCGGCATGGTCCATTTGGGTTGCATGTCATCATGCACTTGGATAGACTAAAATGAGAGAAATAAGACACTTATGGTTATTAATATATTATAAGTTCTAGTATATTAATAATAAGAATAATAAGATTATTTAATTAGTATTGATCAAGAATTAATCTAGGATTAATTAAGTGATCAAAAGAAGACTAATTAAATATATGGGTTGATTGTACAAATCATCCATACTTATATAGTGGGCTAATGCTCCATGGATTATCTAGTTGGGCCAAAACCCATATGATGCTCCATGGATGCTCCATGGTGTATTTGAACCCATGGATCCAAGGAAATGGAAAGTCATGACAATTAGAGTTTACCCTAATTGTATAACTATATAAGCATCTTATTCTTGAGGAAAATCGGCCACTAGAGAAAGTAAGAGAGGGCTAGCCGATTTTCATGAAGTGTAGAATTCTCTCAAGTTATTCCAAGTGTATTTGGTGTTGTGTGAACCATTTGAGGTGTCACACTTGGGGCACTAGGCACTCAAGCTTCATGAAGACATTCTACATCAAGAGGTATGTATTCTATCTTGTTATATTGATAGTTTTGTATGCTAGATTAGGATAATACCTTGGATGTTCATATTTGCATGTATAATAGAGAAAACATAGATCCAAGGTATTTAGGGTTGCATGTACACTTAGATGTGTTAGAATGCTCATAACCCAACAGGTTTTGCTTTATCTCTAGCTATCCTTACCCATCAATATGTCCATCTTTGACTTTTTGACTTTTTGATTTTAAGTTTATTACTTAAAATGTTTCTTTTGTAACATTTTTTAAACCCTACAACATTTGGGAAAACTTAGTCCTGTGCAGTCTAGGACGATAATTATACAATGATACAGGAGTTGCTGAACTATCAGCCATGACAACCAAAAATGATGTTACTTAGACCCTAAGAAAGGGATAATTTTTCCATTCGAACCACATTTAATCACTTTTATAGTTATTACCTTCTTCTTCCATTTCTATTTAATGACAATTCTTTTTTTTTTTATCTAACTTCTTAACTTCCTAAATATTGGTATTTAGATTGCAAATGTTAATTAAATCATCTTTATTTCATGTATATCGGTGTATTTGCATAGATTGTAATCCCCGACTTGCTTACAAATTTGTTGTTTAATGTGATGCAATGTATGCAACACATGGTTAATGAACTAACTTGTGATATAACTTTGATTGTGCCCAACAGAATTTGAATGCAAAATTATTGGATTTTGGATTGACAAGGGATGGAACAACCGGTGGTAAAAGTCATGTGTTGCTCTTGAATATTTATCCACATGCTACATCTATATTCCTATTATAACATTATACTTTAATAAATCTACCCATATGTAGTGATATCAACCAAATACACAACAATTTTCATTGTTATAATCTGATAAAATTTTCAAAGTACAATTTATTTCATTACTATTTTTTTTAATTTATCAATTCTTTTGGTTATTAAACCATTATACTTAGAAAGTAGAACACTATTGTGCATAAAATGTAACCAGTAGTCAAATACATATGTAGTTCGTAAATACATCTAAGTTCTTTTTTATTATATAGATTTCTTTTGTTATTTCGTTAAACACATTGTCGTTACTCATTATGCAGTTTGTGATGCAGATAGTCAAGCAACTCAACGAAGCATGATGCAAGGTGTGACAGACATTATATATATCAGCACATCACTTCAAAAAAAATTCATCGTGGGACGAAGCCTGTGCTCACCTACTAGTTAACTTTTACTTTGTCTTCAATAATAATCATTAATTAAACCCCTTTAAGCTTTATTTTAGGCTATAACGATAGTCAACAACATTAAATCTAACATCACCATTCTTATGGTTACAAACCCTTTTCTTGAACAACACATATTTGGCTTATCCGTAGGGTTTATGATCTACTTTATATGTTAATTACATCTTATAACATCTATTATGATTATAAAATTATAGATTTTGCTCCATCATGACCTCATTCAACAACCTTGACCAAATGCTAACTTGGCTTCAATCCAATGAAAGAATAAATGATACATAACATAGATAACTGATGGTATACAATAAATTGTAATTAATCCATGTTTAAAACCCTTCATCCAACATAACTTGATTGAAATCACTATAGAGCTCTTCTATGTCATATAGAAATGAATTTAAGTGAAAACAACTCAAATAATAAAGTTGTCTCATTTTAAGACATGCATTTTAGTCAATGTTGTAAAAATCGATCTAAGCGGTGATTAGACGTTACGTAGTCTCTTTCTATCTACAATTAACGCTAGTCAGTCGAGTTAATCAAAGTCGGTCTCGAGCGGTCCTAGGCAGTCTAGGGTGTTTTTGGTGGTCAAAGTCGATCAAAAACTTAAACAGTCAAAATTTACAAAAAAAAAAAAAGGTACATGATTAGTTAAATTGATGGTAATTGGTGGCTAGATTATGATGACTTATGACTAAATTTGTGAAAAGATCATTGATTAGTCGAAAAATTATAATTGGCGTGTTTGGTACGGAGCTTTTGGAAGCGTTTGGGAGCTTCTAGCTTTTAGCTTTTGAAAAAACGATCTAATTTAAACAAAAAACTTTGTTTGGCAGTACGAGCGTGTAGCTTTTAGTTTTAACAAAACACTCCGATTTTAAAAGCTACTTCATGTAGTGTTTAACAAAACGCTCCTGAGCTTTTGAAATCAATTTTCTTAATTACCCTTAAACATATATTTATATATTTATTTATTTTTAATTAATTGTCCTTTTATGTAATTTTATATATTTGAAAAGCTTACAGCTACTTTTGTCAAACATTGGTATAACAAATAAAAGCTACAGCTTCTCACTACTAGTTACCTGTTATACGCTACCAGCTACCCGCTACCCACTTCCAGCTAACAGCTACTTTTGTCAAACACGCCCAATATATGATGATTCAAATATTTAGAAAATCGAATATCTCAATATTTTATGATTATTTACTTATTTTGTTAGGATATATGAAATATTTATTTTTATTTTTTAAATTCTATTACAATGGTTTCCGCCTAGACGCCGATTAATTCCGCCTAAATTGATTAGACCATAATCCAAGTCGATTGCCCGACCACCGCCTAGCGACTTTTATAAACTTGATTTTAGCCGATACATCTCTACTTGAACCTCACGATATTTCTTTGTACCTACTCAGACCAAGAACTATAACCCCAAATAAATTTATAACACTTTTCTTAAAATAGTTCTTACTCGGACACTTTTCTTGGATCGATCACTAACATGAACTTTGTTGTTTTATGCATAATTTTCTCATACAATGCCCAAAAAAACATGATATTTTTGTTTTGGCTACCGTTTTAACTTAGATATGTGTTTAACTACCTAGAAGATTGAAAATTTACACTAGGTTTGGACTAATAGAATTGTGCCCAAGTATTACATCATTTAGTCCGCATATAACATTCTACATGGGGAACTTTGTTATATAACATGTATATCCACTACTGCATCACTTCAAAAAAAAATTACATCATACACAACTTTTACTAATAATAGTAGAAATGAGTTTACACTATATTTTCCCAGCAAGTGAAAAAATAAAAATTACTTGTGGTTGGTAGATTGTTTGAACATTAATGTCATTCATATACTATTATAAAGAGCTCATTTCGTTATTATATAGTGAGTTAGTTTTCATATACTATTATAGAGAGCTCATTTGGTTATTCTATAGTGAGTGAGTTTTAACCGAATAACTTGTTGTACCTAAATAATTATTTAACTTGGTTGTCATTCTTTTTTAGTTGAAAACTAATCAAATAGGACGATGATAGTTCATTGATGATTCCAACCTTAGATTGTAGAAAGAATCTAACTATTGCACAACACAACTTATAATCATGCATTCTAAACAATTGAATAGTTATAATCCAAATGTCAAATATGTTGTATGCTAGAATATTAGAAAAAAAAAAGTTGTAATTTAATTGTTTTTCAAAACTCTTATATACTTAGGCTTGAGGGGTGATATCATATTTGTCACCATGCTACATCACATTTTTTTGACATCCACCTCACTTCATTATTTTTGCCACACAATAGCATGCCATTTTGGTGGGATACCAAAATTGAATAAAATAAAATAAAATAACCATTACACACCCTCTCTCTCCTCTCTCGTCAGCATTCAATTGCAGTTTCATCTTGAAGAGCTCGACAGGGCTTGTATATGCTAAGTTCGCCACCCCTATGTCGAGCCTTTTGCAATGTCACTCCCTAAAACCTCATACATATTTTTTAGTAAAAGTGTATCATCGGTGCATTATTAAATCAAATCTGAGAACCTATTTGCTAAATTCCTTGATTTCTCCATAACTATATTCTTGATAACTTTCTTTGAGCTTGTATGGTCTAATTGAGACTTCCAACTAGTTGTAAGTAACTTTCTCATGTTAAACCAAGTATGCTAGGTTCATATTTCACTTTGATTTTGTCCAACAAATTGCTTTAACACAAACAAACAATTAAAGATTTGTTTTTTCGATCAATCTCTATTCATTTTGAAAACTAATCATGATTCACTTCCATATTATAAGTGCATTCACATTTAATGAGAAAAATGTAAACTAAGTATGGTTCCAATTTCCAAATACTTTATGGGAGGAAAATTGGAGACGAAAGAACGAAATTGACAAACAGAAAATGCAAGAAAATTCTAACAACAAAACACGCATCAATGTGCTTTGATTATTGATCAATATATCAATCTTGTTTTAAGAAAAACCCCCAACAATTTCTCAAAAAAAGAAAAAAACATATATACTTAATCACCTGCAAAATCAATAGATGGAAATTTACATTGAGAAATGTGCATCAAACTTCATCCCGATCATCAAACGCGTGGCATGGGCTGAGCGCGTGGCTTAGGCTGAGCGCGTGGCATGGGCGGAGCAGCAGCGACGGCTGCTGCGGCGGTCACAGTAAGAAAAGAAAGAAATCCGACGGCAATATCCGGTTGCTGATCTTCTACAAACACTTCTTGCGGAATCCTAAATGCTCCATGAATACAAAGCATCCCTAATCCAATCAATGAGGAATACATTATGAGCGATCCCAATCCAGTCAAGAATACGATAAGAATCGTGGAAAGGATCAAGATCCCAAGGGCTTGACGATCGGAGAAATTGTGTTCAAAGAGGACTACAGGCTGATCTGGTGATCGGAAAAGGTAGAGGTAAAGCCACGCCCATACAACGCCGACAAAGAAGAAGAGAGAAATGGGATGTGAAAGGAGAGATAATGCAACGAAGACGGCGAGGATGGCGGAGTAGTTAACACGAAAGTAAGATAAGTTTTTCCGAACACGAGATACCGCTTCCGAGAAGGTTTCCGGACAAGAGAAGTTGGAACGGTCGATGATTTCGAACCATGGGCGGCGTTGTGCAAAAGATTCGCGGAGGGTGGCGGTCATGCGGGAGAAGAAGGGGCGAAGGTCGGGATTATTGTTGACCGGGATTTGTTGGGGGATGATGGGGGTGGTGGCTGTGATGGGGGTGTATTGATGGATGCGTGATGGCGCCGTCGCCTTTGCCATGACCTTGGCCTTCGACGTCGCCATCGTGCGGTGGCGGTGTGGAGCGGAGGAGGTGAATTGATTTGCAGGTTCGGATGTGGAATGTGACAATGAAGAGAACTGTCGTTGATACAAAACGCGTTATTGTTATTTCAGTTACTGATTTCTATTATTTACCCCTGAACTTTTGTTTTGTGTGCATTAATGGTTGCATTGTTTTATATCTGATTTATTAATCCCTAATGAATATGGGAAAGTTGTAGGGTTTTTTTTGGTGATTTTTTTTTTATTTAAACCGAAAAATCATCAAATTTATGTGTTTTTATAAGAAATATTTTTGATAAAGTTTCAAGATTTTGGGTCTGTTTAGGGTTAAATTCCAAATTAATTTTTGTTTACAAAAAGAAAAGAATGTTGACTAAAACTTTGGTATAACCATTTTTGATTGATTCGTAAATTTAGATAGTATCCTGTCCTATTTCGTTAATTCGGTCAAAATATTAAGATTTTTCTAAAGATTGTGTAAGTTTTAACCAATAACCAAAATATTATGATTTTTCAGAACATTACCTGTGAACTAATGTATATTTTTATTAACAAATCATTTATAAACATAACATATATTTGAGAAGGGAAATGTGATAATGGGATCAAAGTTTATCAAGTAGGTGGGGACACCATCATAAAGGTTTAAATGAGTCTTCGAATGAGGTGTTGGACCTTTAGCATGATTGAGAAGGGAAATGTGATAATGGGATGGGGAGGTTGTGAGATATTTATGATTAGACCTAGCAAATGTGCCGTGTCGGGTTTGTGTCATGTTAAAACAGTAAACGGGTGGAGATAGCTTGACCCTAACCCGACCTGTTTAATTAACGTGTCGTGTCGTGTCAACTCGTTTATTTTCGTATCGAGTTTTGTGTCAGGTTTCGAGGTAGTTGTATATCTTAAAATATATCGTAACATGTGAGGTTGAAACATTAAATATATTGAAAGAGTATGGTTTGGATAGGTGGAAAGGAAATGTAATAGTTGGGATGCGGAGGGGAAATGTAATAGTAAATTTACATAGTAAATGGAATTAATATGAGTTGGAAGGAGAATGAGGGATCATGAAGAGGAGGAATGGTTGAGAGGATTGTGTAATTTTGACGATAACAAAAAACTGAAAATAAAAATCTTGACTAAAACGGCTAAGTGTATTCCACGTTACAAAACAAGTAAACCTAAAAGTTTTTTTTACATATTATTTTGTTTTTTTTTAGTTTATTTAAAATGTTCAGAAAACTTACATATAAACAGGTCATTTTTTAGTCATATTTGGGTTGAAATTCTCAACCTTAATCTTACGCGTTTATTTTTCGTTTTGTGTCGTATCAACCCGTTTAATTAAACGGATTGAAATATCTTACCCAAACATGCTTATTTCATGTCAGGTTTCGTGTCGTGTAAGTTTTTGTCACCTATTTGAGTATTATAAAAAATAAAAGTTAAAAAAAAAAAAAGTTTAAAAAAAACCATATAAAGATAAAATAATATTTTTAACTCTAATAATGACCAAAAAAAAAAAAAAAAAAAAAACTTTCATGGATGGTCTGTACTCTGGATGAAAAAAAAAAAACCAACTAAAGATCAAAATTGGATGTTGGAGTAAATTACAACGACTATTTATGTAATTTAATCTATTTTTTAATTGATTGGGGACGCTTCAGAAGAGAACACCCATACCATACCGACAGCAGTGCTCTTTACACTCTTGCAAATGCAACATCGCACAACATGCCACCTCATTCATTTTCTTCCATTCATTTTCCGTGTGTAAAGTTTTTTTGTGGGCCAACTTTGGATTAACGAACGTAAATCTGGGTATTTTTATGCACCCAAAAAAATTATTAGTACGCCCGTTAATAGAAAATTTCGTACCACCCCTTAATAGAAAATTTGGGTAAATTAACTATTATAATTTTATATTTTTTTTCTTTCATAAAAATATGATCATTTACTTTTAAATGCTTTCCGATTTCATATTGAAATTTTAAAGTATTTTTTTGTTTTTTTTTTTTTTTTTTTCAATTCTACTTGTGTCCGAAATATCAATTATCTTTCAAATGGTTGGTTTTATGCCTTAATTTCCTAAGTAGTTCTTAGAGTAAATTACACGATTCGTTCCTCGTATAAGTGTCAAAAAGCACGTTTAGTCCTTATTTTCAAAGATTAATTCGGACCGTCCTTCCTATCATTAAAAGTTGTACGTTTCATCTATAAAATCATTTACCAGACATAAAATGTATGCTTTGCCCTTTTCTATTTATTTTTGATATATTTTTAGGTTTTTATTATTATTAGTTATATTTAAAAAAATTCAATAAATAATTAGGACTACCCTCACATTACCTACCCATCTTCTTCTTCGAGTCCCATGTAAAACATCTTTTTCCCTCTTCATCTTTTTTTTTTCTTTCAAGAACCTAAACCACCACCCTTCATCCCCACAAGCTTTGAGGTACCGAAACTCTCAGCTTCTTCTTCTCCATCTCAGGTGCGACACCTACACATCACCGATTTGGAGAAAAGGGGAGAGAGTCGTCTCTGCAAATTAGTTGAAGAATGGAACCTGGAGCCTCATCGGAAATCTGGACTATTAACACCGCAACCCTTTCCGACTGTGAAGCACCATCATGAAACTTTGGCCACGTGTCGGTCACCCTCTTGAGCGAACCACCATCGACGAAGCTAATGAGAGAGAAAATATCATCACACCATCACTGCAATCTCCATTTACATAACCTGTGAACCGCTGTTTCCACTGATCGAACATTGTTTCTTATCCACACCTCTATCAGATATGTAACCCTTCATCTTTTTTGTTGTTTGTTCCACCATAAATCAATTTTGTTCTTGTTTTATGAACGAGTAGACGTATTGAATCAATTAGGTTATTATCGTAACCTTTTCATGGATGAAACATGTTGGGATACGTTTAAATTTCTAGAACAATTCCAGAAATTTCTACTTTAGTTTCATTCTTAATGTGACTGTAATTTCGAAAAGAAAAAACAAATACCCCTTTCCCCTTTCGTATCAATTTATGCATATTGAATTAGGTTTTGTCCATTTTTATAGGTTTTATTTGTATGTTTTGGGTGGTCGCTGGAGGTAAAGGATGGTGGATATTAGAGATTTTTCTTATAGTTTGGAGATGGATGGTGATGGTGGTGGTGGCGGTGGTGGTGGTGCCGAAAAATGTGTATGGTGAAGAAAGGGGGTGGCCGGGAAGATAGGAGGGGAAGATAAGAGGTGGTGGGACCCACCAAATTAAAAATCATATAATTCAATTTTTGTAATTTCTAAAAAAACAAACCAATATTAAAAAAATGATAAAGAAGAGACAAAGGGAAAAATAGTCATTTCAGGACTTTCATGGACTAAACATGCAACATTTAAACTTACAAGGGACGCTCCGAGTTAATTTTTAAAAATAGGGACTAAACGTGCAATTTGAGACATGGACCAGGGACAAATCGTGTAATTTACTCTAGTTCTTATTTATTATATTTGTTTATTATTATTATTTTTTTACAATTAAGTAATATATATATATATATATATATATATATATATATATATATATATATATATATATATATATATATATTCAAATTCTAGAATTGCTCATCGGATTTCAGATTTGTTCTTGAAATTTTAAAGTTTTCTTTCCGAACTCCAAATTTTCAGTTTGAAACCCGAAATGTTGGTCGTGAATTCCGGAATTTTGGTCGAACATTCTTAAATTTTTTTAGTGTTTTTTTATCGTTTTCAAGTTGTAATTCTCTAAACGTTGGCCTTAGAATCTCATGGTTGTGTTGGTTTTGAAAAAAATGAAAAAAAAAAAATACAAAATGTGTATATATGTACACTTAAAAAAAAGTCTGTAACGTCCCAAAAATACAAAGTAAAATTTTAATTTTTAAACAACCAAAAACATTCATTCAATTTCTCAAAAGACCATCATAGTTTAATGTATTCCCAAAATCAAAATAAATCATAACAAAAATGCGGAATAAACTTCGGGGGATGCAGTGCGATTAAGCCAGACCCTTCCCTTTCGAACCAGAAGTACCTGAAACATTTAAACACAAAATTGTAAGCACAAATCTTAGTGAGTTCCCTAAAATACCACATACCATACATACAACGGGTCTATTACAACCCTAAGTGAATGTTTTGAGTAAATCATAGTCTAACAATCACTTCTTACCATCGGTCACATCATGGTCTTTCCTTGTAATGCCAATGGCCAAATCTTAATCTTACAAGCAAGTGTCAGAGGTCATATCCTAGTCTTCCATAAAATTATATGTGGCCAAATCCTGATCTTTCATGCAAACATCACAAATATAACTAGCATCCTACACATTATAGTGAGAAAGCTCACCTCACACTCGAAGTCAAAGAAACAACTCGAACAGTCAAGAAACTGGTGCTACGCCCCACCTATCGAAACACCTAAGGTCAAACCTTATACTACCTTCTAAAACCAGTAACTTGACCAAAAATCAACCCGGTCAAAAAGTCAACAGTCAAAAGTTAACTTAGAAGACCACCATGTTGTAGCCAACCCATGGTCACGTCAACTAAATGCCAAATGAGTTGCAAAAACTATGCTCACAACGTCGTGGCAAACACCATGCCACGTTGTGGTTACTGCTTCTAAACCGCTTAACGGATTAAGCCCTTAATTCGTTAAGTCCTTCATTCCAACTTTCCAAAAAGCTTTTAGGCACTTCAAAGGCTCATAAAAATATGGACTTTATGGACATGCATGCCCCATGCATTTCATTCACTCAAACTACTTCAAATGGTAAGATAATAACCTAAAACTCATGCAAAGCTTAATGTAACACCCTATTTCGGTACATTCCTTAATTCAGGGTTTGTAGACAATAATTCAATCATGTAAATGTTTTGGGCTTTGAGGAAGTAAAGTTTGGACCTTATTGAAGGTTGATAATATTGGTTAT